GAAGCAGCTTATCAGGCGACGCCAACAAGGGAACTTTTTGTTGTTTTTCCGGGCTTATTGCTCTGCTAGCTTATCTCTCAAAAACTGTATGGGTATTATATAAATTAGAACTTCGTTCGATTTTAAACCATCGAATAATTTTGCATAGAAGAAAAAAAACAAGGCAGGGAAAGCTTATTGCAAACTTTTTTGCTGAGAGCTCAAAGTTCGTTTTAAATTTGTTTTGCAAAGCTGTACAAAAAACTCAATTTTTCTGCAGGAGTGAAACAGAGTTTACACCGCATGAAATGTCGCTTATGGCAACTCATTCAAAAGATTACTCTTGTCAAGGAGATATGCCTTTGTGCTACCTGTGCTCTCGTGACTTGTTGGAGCAATGTGCGGCTCTAATAACTGGAGTGAACTTTATCTTTTCTTAAAGTTGTTTTAAGGAAGACGCTTCTACCTCTTTAGACTTTTACATTTTGAGTATTCGTAGGAGAATCTTGTGAAAGATCATTGAAAGTAATGCTTGCAGACTATTTCATTTCTGCTTTCTCTTCTGACCTCTTTCAGCTGCCTCTGGTTTTTGCTGACCAGAAAGCCGTCTTTCTCATCAACAAGAGTTTATCATCAGTGATGCTGATGGCTTACGCTATTGTCGTAAAAATCGACACAAGGATGCCTACTATTTTTCAAGCGACCAGTGCTATATAAATAGCATCTTTTTGTAAAAATTCTTTAATGCAGTAAGTGTTGGTCCAAGAAGTTGCTGTATCATACGATTGCCACCTTAATGCTTTTTCTGCTGTATTTCTAATCACTTCTTTACATGAAATTTTTAACTGTGCTTTATGCACTTGTCGATACTTTAGAAACATCTAAGTAGTTCCTTCCTGAATTTTTCTAAAAGGAATCAACTCTGCCCAAATAAAACCGCTCTCTATGCCATACTAACCTCAACCAGGTCTTCATGTAGACAGAATATCTACTGAGGAGTTTAGGACAGTTTTATATTACAAAACCCAAATAGTCAGCCCCTTAGCATTCTATATAAAAATCGTCAAAGCAAAGAAAATTTCCAAAGTTATGTGTTTAATTTCCAAAGTTATTTCCAAAGTTTCCAAAGTTATTAAAGTTAAGTTATTTTTTATTACGTGCTTTCAAGCCGTATGATTTTACTTTATTTTTTTGTGTTTGCAAACCCTACTGTTTCATAATTTGTAATCAAATTTTATATTTTGATTTTAAGACGAAAAAAATACTAATAATATCCAGCGCGGCAGTAGCTGTCAAACCAAGCAACAGTTTTAGTTAACAAATGAACAACGTTCAATCTATAAAAAAAGGTAAACAGGACGTCAAACATCTATCTTTTCCAATTCCTCGCCAAACAGCGGGGCAATAACAAAGAGTTTACTAGAGGAGCTTCTGTTCTAATGAATTTAAACACTCCAGAAGAGCTGTTACGAAACGGTGAACATCACTGAAGCTGTTATACAGATGTACCGGAGTTACTCTAATCACATACGGATATCTTTTATCTACCTAAAAAGATGTTATTTTAGCGACGTTCTAAAAAAGTTACCAAAGTAGTAAGTAAAAGTTTCTTAACCCCCAGATGCAAGTAAAAATGATTTTTAAGATTACTGTTTCCTCTAGAAGACATTCAGAGAAACATGACTGTCCTGCCGCTTACCAACTAAAAAGAAAAAACAATGTCAAGAAAACAAGTCTAATAAAAACCGACCACAACTCCACGTTTTCCCAGTTCTGTACATAATTTACTTATGTCAATATTAAATTTCAAAGAAAGTTGACATCCTCGGTCTTCTGCTCGCGAAGGTGTCATTACAGAACAGTACACCTAGAAACTATCAAGCATTAGTTCTAAATAATAAAGAAAAATTGAAGTGTTGTATAGGCAGAATTAAGCACCTTTTTGGGGACTTTATTTGGTGAGGAAGAACTTAAGTAATATTTTACGAGAAATTCCAAGTAACCAGTTAGCCATATTGACTTTTCGCGTAGAGCACTCATAGATGTTTTTGAAAAAACCTGAAGCAGGAGACAAGTTTTATACAGCGAAAACTGGAGAAAAAAAGTTGTTGTAGAGCAACATATTGAAAAAAATACATCAATTGCCGCAAGTAATGGAACTGTCAGCATCGCTGGTGGAGTACTGATGCGGTAGCCTGCTGCACCTTCCTCTAGTTCCAATTCTAAAAAAAATCGTTGTAAAGTTTTCTTGAAAAAAACTCGACATCACATAGAAGTGGATAAGCTTACTGTTGTCCATGTAAAACCTGGTACTCATTTTGTGACCCCACCAACCAGTCAGCCTTTCGCGATTATCATCTTTGTATTTCTCATGAACGAATGCTGCTCCAATTCCCCCAGCTCCGGAAGACGCATACTTATATGTGCACCAGACTGCGAAATCAACATCCCATTCGTGGAGCAAAAGAGGTACGTTAGCAAAAGCATGTGCTAAATCCCAAGCTACCAGACATCCCTAAAACAAACTCTTCAAAAAAAGAACACCTGGCAGTACCCAGTTCCAAGCATACAACCTTAGTCAGACATTTATTGAAAACAGCATCAGCTAACTAACTAAGAATGTAGAGAGTCGAGATCTAGCAAAGAAATCCTGTTGTACACCGCTAACCTTTTTGTGTCCCGCATTTGTAATACCTTGAATGTCGAAATATTGTCCGGTGTAATAATGTACTCCGCTGAATAAAATTATTGCTATAGATGACCCTTCTTGCTCAATATATTTGATGATATCCTCATTTCTTAAGCAGTCTTCGCCCTAGAAAACTAAAGCTAAGCGACTTTTCAATTTTTATAAGTATTAAGTATAGGATACAGTTGTGCAACGCTTCTTTGACAAATTATTTTAAAAAAAGTGTTACATGCGAACTTTGTACCTTCCTACTAAATGCGTCGCAAGTACGTGTTGAACGCGGAGAAAATAAATTGCGACGATTGACAGAGAGAGAGAAGAAGCGTTAAGAAACAAGATGAAAAATAATGGTAACAAAGGGAAAATCAAACGACAAGTGCAAACAGAAAATTTTATGACAAATTTGTGACTGTTCTAGAAAAACACTAATTTTAAACGGAATAATTTCCAATTTAACACGACTCGCTCCACTGCAGACTATTCAACACCGACCATTAATTACATCTCAACATTAGCTAAGATGTCAAACTAAGGGATCAATGCATGGTTCAAGCTTTTGGACAACCGGTTTCGACCCTCATGTAACTAAATAACAGTTGGCTTCCGCAATCTATATTGCGAAGTCCGTCCAATTAACTCCTCGTTTAAATAAAGCAGATTTTTTTCTGATTTTCCGCAACACAGGCCGAACTTGCCGGAAGAAGGCTACCAATTACAACAGATTACGTACATGAAATTCATGAAAAATTCTTAGGTTCAATAATGAAACATTTCTGATTTGAGATCTGAAACCATTCGAATTTTAAACCTTAAATAACAATCCAACAGTAGTCCTATTGAAAAACTAAATCTCAGATAACATATTCTAGTAAATATTAACTCACAGACAAGAAAATGTCATCGGCAGCCCTCAAAAGTTGAAATAACTTGTAGTATCTTTGCATTTTATTAAATTTTTATTTTTTTTCCGCATTTAATCTGCAGCAAGAAAGCAAAACTGCAGACCAAGATAGATCGAGATTACCAAAGAAATGAGTGATAGAAAAATGAAAAAAAGCTGCTCATTCGTTTTAAGAGCATGAGAGCATTAATCACTTACGCGCCCAAAAAAATTATTTGGTTTCACATAAGGAATTTCTAAAGGTTTATTAGATAAAAAAATTTCAAGTTTTATACCTCGCGAGGTTCCATGCATACCATTGCTTCTTCCACGCGAAGATTATGTAGACGAATCTGTGCCTCAATGGCATAATGATCTGACGGAAACGCTTTCTGTTCCAACAAGATCTTCCATCGCGTTGAAGACGGCTTATAAAATGCTGTCTGAAAACTTCAGTCTCAAAAAATAAATATTTCCTCCCGTCACCTCTTCATTCCCTTTGAAAACTTTCCTTATGCCCTGTTTCTAGATATTTCCCACCTCTTATGCTAATTTTTTGCCATTCTTTTCCCTTACTTCTCAACTAATTCTTCTTATTCTTCCTTCTTCTGAAACTTTTTTCCCTTGCTCCTTGTTCCTGAACCTGGTTCAAAGAAGTTCCAAGATGAACAAAACATACGGGGCAAAAAGCTGAGTTGACTACGGTATGCATAAAATTTGTAAATAATGGTTTCCTCACCAGTAAACAATGTAAGTTCACAGTTAAGCTGTTCATGAGAACTACTTCGACTGGTTTTGCACCGACTAATTTCGCAACACCATCAACAAGCGCTTCGTCACAATGGGCCCAAGGCAGTGGTCCCAGTGTATGACCTAGAACTCCTCTGAGCAACAACTCAGGGTCCAGTGTAATTAGAAAACGTTTGAAGCACACCAAAGCTTTGTTGTGTATACGCAGGGGAAAGAAATTAATCGGTTTGAAAAAGATTAACCCTACAGTTTCGCCCATTTCTCCAGTTGCTGCTTCATATAATATTCTGTTTTTTTTGCCATTAAGCCAAGCGAATTACCACACAAGTAGATGCTGTCCTCATCAGGATTCACAAAGGACGGCTCGACTGCAGTAAGGAAAGTCAGATTCAATTTTTTTGAATCTTAACTTTTTGAAGGTTTGTGAAGCAAAATATTGCTTACTGATTGGAAGATCTTTCATTTTTGGGTAATGGAACTCATCTCTTAAAAAGCTCAACTGATCGCGTTTATCTAAAGCCAAAGCAAACTCGTATGATGTTAAATCGGCATCAGGGGGTACGTCCGAGAACTTCTTACGCAACCTCAGTTCGAAAGACATTCTAAAAAAAATCAGTTTTTCCCCAGTGCACGTCTAAACGGCCGTATGGACGAAATAAAAGCGATCATGCGAAACAATAATTAAAGCAAAACTTCCTTTAACTATTTTAAAAGTTGAATTTCCAACGCAACACTCACTACTCGCTGCTCAATCGTATAATAACTGACCTGTTGACCTGTCAGGGAACAAAGAATTCAAACTCGACGTTTTTTAAAAAAAACACAAACAATAAATTTTGTTTTACAGGACCATAGCATCTTTCAGGAAAGTCCTTGCCTGTTCAGCCTAACCCGGTGAATCCGATTACACACACTTCAAAAAAATAAAGTTTTTAGTTTTAAGTTTTTTTAGTTTTAAGTTTTTTTTTGTAGTTTTTTATCTTCCTGTTTAAATGACTTTGAAACTGCTTAATACTCTGTTTTCTCGCCTTTGTCTAACAACTCGTGAAGATAATTTTACGGTCTACTATTCATTCTATCGTTGAATCCTGTTCTTGGTTTCTCAAATGTGTTGCACTCATTCAAGTCATCCTTTGGAATGTCACCTGCAGAAAAAAACCAGCACAGTCAATGCAAAAAAAAAAACCGTCTTGGTGGTGGCGATTCTTAAAAAATTGAGACGCCTGAACACTACCCTTTCCTGCCGTCTCAAAGAATATCACACAATACATGTGCAACGAACAGGCATCAGTTATCAAAGACTGGTCATAAATCCCCTCATCACTACTGTAAAAAGCCGCAAAGGCGGGCCACGAGACCATATCGGGAAAATGTAGAAAATATCGGGAAAATATCGGAAAATGTAGATCTCGCTCCGTGTAGGTTTAAAGTAACTTTATAGCAGAAAGTAACGTTCTAAGAAAAAGTTACTGGCAACGATGTTACATTTTCGAATATCGGAGGAGATCCAATGAAGGTGGGCAAAACTGAAAAATATTTAACATTAAAATCGCGGTAGTGACACCTGGAAGAGATCTTTTTAACAATATTCAAACAGTACTTGGCTGTGCTGTAAAAAGTATGTAACATAAAAAACTCAAACATCAGACCCAACATTAAATATGGCCACGAGCGAAGGTAGCAAGAATAGCCCTTCTAAAAAAGCTGAACAGTAGTTCGTGAAAGGACATCGCTCTTTCACAAAAACCAGTTAGATTTTCACTTATTAAATTAAAACTTAGGAAGAGCATGTCACAAGAACTTCAAAAAGCGCCAAACTGCTCTGATCTATCCAACCTTTCAAAAAATGAGAAAAGATTGGTTTGGGTTGCGAAAAAATCAACCAGGTTTAAGGAGTTACACTGCCACATCACCAAGTGGAAGGACTTTGTCCGCTGCAAAGTTTGAAAAGTAGAAGTTTGACACTGTTGCTGTCACTTGTAGCCTTCAACGTTCTTTGTGTCGACAGTTGAGCTGAACGAAAAGTCCATGAAAATAAGTGCCAAACGGCGACCTAACAAATTTTGCAATTTTCAAAGGTCTTGGTGCACAATTCAATTTCATGGTCCCTTCTTCGATTTTTTAAACCTGGCTGAAATACTAATAATCAGCAAAATGTGAGAAAGTTTTGCAGTAATAAGCAAAAAAACTACGCCGAGTGGTATGGAAGAACCGATACATATTTCAAAAAGACCACTTGTTCTAATTACGGTCGTATTACTTTTTTTTTCACTCTACTCGCCTTCTTTAGTATTTGTGTGAACTATGAAAGGTCATTCAGCATAATGGTCTGTGCGAAAAACTGAATGGGTTAATCGTAGCTGCAGTGGATGTGGGACTGTCACAACTTTTCTATCCTTATTATGAACTCGCTATCTGTCACTGATAGAGATCCTGCCGTTCATAATCTGTTACCGAATTAATGGTAGCCAGTCACCCGAGGAGCGATTTAGTACCGTAGAAGAGGCAATAACTTTCAAAGACTGGCGCTGGATAGTGCCGAGAACCAGTCCTTCAAAATTTATTTAAAAAATACTTCCATCAATTTTTATTGCTACGTGTTGGCAAGCCACCTATAGAGGTTGATGCTTTAATATTCATATAAGGGATATACCTCTACAAAAAACAGTTTTTTATAATTTTTCTAATTGTTGGATTTATAAAAGAAGGTTCATCGACCATTAGGAAAAAACTACCAGAATGTCTTTTGAAAAAACGGCTTTTCACGAAAAAATTTTTGTATCATGCTACTGGAGACCAGAATCTTTGCTTCCTATCACCCTCTTGTCTACTCAACAATCTTCCAACAGAGTAGTGTTTACCGTGATATCCCGTAAGTACTGCCAAAACCTTCCCTTCATGAAACCTTGTCTGCTGGCCACGACGCGCACTGAAGATCGCAGGACCAAACAAGCTTGGGGAGTATTGTATACATAACACTAGCGAAATGCCAGCGAAGACCGATGGTATTGTTTTGACGACGAGGAACTTGGATGGCTGACAGCCTAGCATCAAAGTAACATTATTCAAGTTAGTGGTGAAATTCTAGAGGTGCACGGTAACTCAACTAACTTTAACTCCTTATTCCTCAACCACTCCCCAAATATTATACTCCAAAGAATTACTGGGGAATTGATTTAAACATCTAAAAGTAAAAGTGTAATTCGTTTGATTTTGTTCAGATTTACTGGGAACAATCGCGTAACCTTTCTGAATATAACTGCAATATCCATCTCATCAATACAGCAGAACTAGACAGGAAAAGAACTTTGAATGGGTTTGTAACGATAAAAAAACTTGAACAATTGAAAACGAAACAATTCACAACTCAGACCAAAAATAAATAAATAAATAGATGATATTGAATTAAAATTAAAGCTGCCAACGAGCGCAAAAAAAAGAAAATAGAATCATTTGCTGCTCGCCAGTCTTTAATTGCTGAAAGGCTGAAAAATAGAATCATTTAGCACGAGCCACTAACCAGTTTGAAAAATGTAAAATAAAGAATAAAATTACTTGAAGATAAATTTACTTAGAACGTATCTAATCCTTTCTTAAGGAATCAAAAGCTTTTATTAAAAATAAATTCAAAAAAAAATGCGGGTTAATTCTGACCTACCTTACCAAGAAATATGATCTCTCAACCACTTGTCTCTAACGCGTACCTAATCATTGGTGAACTACTTCCAACCTACTAAAAAACTTCGGACACCTATTTAAAAATATCTCCCTTACGTATTCTTGATTAAAAACATCTTTATTTTTAGTAACTATAGCCCTTCCTTTTGCTTTTGATACTGCTATTAATCGACCGAGAATAAATCAAACTTTCTGGAGGAATCATCCGTAGTTGCAGTAAGGGTCAGTAGAATGAAAGATTTATACTTTAAATCCTACGGCTGATACTACAGACTTTGGTGTTCAGATCCTTCTTTGCGATGCTTCTCACTGACGCTAACAAAACCAAAGTATTATAACAACTGCTTTCAGGTCTCTCTGCGGTATATACTGCCTTAATTTTGCTGCTACCCCGTTGTCAAAGTTATCGTTCAACAGAACTCCCACTTCAATGAGTTTTTTCATTCAGTCTTCAAAGAGGAAAATGAGAATCTCGCCGTTTGCGTCGGGTAAACCCAACATTTTCAAGTTGAAGCACTTGAAGTAATCTGCTACGTGTTGTGCCGCGATTAATTCCCGTTATAAAATTCCACAAAGAGGACGTCACCTAATATAGGATGACTGCACAGATCTTTTATTAAAAAATTTGCTTGACTGTTCGTTTCTCCGTTGGTTTCTGAATCGCACTTCCATGACTCATACAGGCCATACTGTTGGCAAGAGTATCGCAAGTTGATTTCGGTAAGCTTTCTGTATCGACCAGCAAACACTGCGTCCGCTTAAATCAATAAACGTCTCTCAAATTTTTGAGGAAATTCTTAAAGTCAGCATAGCGCTGCGTACCTTTTTTGGTTAAGGTGCCTTTACATCCCGTTCTAACGCTTCACCTTCTTTATGCGTACTTCCGTCATGGATTATTCATGTATTCCTAAGAGCTGTGTTTCATCTTCATCATTCTCTGCAATCTCATTCAAATATTTTAGGTAACTTACTTTTTCTCCAAAGGTGGATTTCTCGCTACAGTGTCACAACTTCAGTGGAAATGGACCGTAAGGACATTAGTTCAGTGGTTCTTAATTGAAGCGTCTTAAGAACTTTCTTTAATATTCCACAAATAGCTAAATTCGTCGGTGCTGCAGCTAACATAATGTCCTTTACCTTTTCATATAATCTACTTACGTACTGGGTAGTTAAGTATGTCTTTTTCGCTCTAACCGAGGATTAAACAGCCAAGATATTTCTCTTTTCATCTCCCAAGAAACGTAGAATCTTGGTTTCCTTTACTATCACTTTTCTTTTCTCGTGTCGAACTTCTGCCTCAATGTTTCAAGTTCGTCTTCTCTTATTGGTGTATCTTGTAGTTATTCCACCTTACTCTCCTCTTAAAAACCTTTCAGTGGTATTATCCTTCCCAATGAATCCGATAATGATTTCGCTAGCCTCGAAATGCTGCTGTTGTTCTACCCTTTGATAAATTTGACTACTTATTCAGAGCTCCTCTAATCACTGTCTAGCTACAAGACTATGTTTGACAAATTTTAAAATGTCATCATCGTTGGCATTTTCTCCATAGCAGCCCTCAACTAGTTATCATTTGCTGTTTTTAAAACTACACATTACCTTGATAATTAACATCTATACTTGTAACGACAATTCTGACACCGCTTCAATATGATCTAGAAGCAGTTGCCGGTGTCTCTATTCTCGTATCACCTCGTGCCTTCCAGATTTCAGTTGAGCGGTCAACTTCTTCACTTCTCTTTAATAATTCTTATCGTACAATACAAAGAACTGCAGATCTGCTAATGCATAGTTTCTATTTTATGTAGTCGCTATTTCTGCTACCGATAAAGCCGACCTAAGTATCCAGAAGTCGGAATTCAACTGCTCTACGGTGTAAACTGCGGAGGCACTAAGGTTCTCTTTGTAAGTATAAATGCTTTC